TATTTTATTAATTATTGATAGAGGGGTATTGGAATCTTTGAATATGACTGTGGGTTTGTCTCTTTCTCTTTGCAGTTCTATCAATCAGTTTTTGCTTCGTTATTTTAAAACCCAGTTATTAGGTACATAAGTGTTTAGGACTGTTATGTCATTGACTTCTCTATCATTATGAAATGACTTTATCTTCATTAATATTCTTCATTCTAGAATCCACTTTGCCTGATGTTAATATGAAGCTTTCTCTTGACTAGTGTTAACATGGTATATTCTTTCCAACCTTTAACTTCTACTTGTGTCATATTTGTATTTCCTGTAGACAGCATATAGTTGGGTTTTCTCAACTTAGGGAGTTTCCCCTTTCTGTCACAGGGCCTAAAATCTCTTTAGGCAATAATGGGGCTTATTTTGTTTGTTTCTCATCTCTCAAGAACAGGGCTTGGCTTAGGATGAGGTGAGTGCGGCCCTTACTGTGCAAAATTTTAGAAGGTAATACACAGTTTTGAAAGTAGATTCCTCTTTAAATTCTACACCCCCTTCAAATGTTTTACCTTACTCTTAAGAAGACACTCAGAGTTATGCAGTTGCAGGCCAGCACCTGAGAGTAAATGCCTCTTTTAATTTTGCATTTTAGGGGCCTCACCAGTTCACCCTAGTGACAGTCTCAGCCCTGTCCTTCATTGCCTGATGTCCAATGTCTTGAAAACCATTAAAAAATATATATATTGTCTGGAGTTTTGATTATTTCAACTGGGAGGTACATACAGTCCCTCTTACTCCACCTTTTCTGGAAACAGAAGTCTGGATTTACTCTCCAGGAGATTTTTTTTTTATTAATTTATTTTTGTTACAGATGTTTCTCCTTTTCCCCCCCACTGATTCCCCCCTCTCCCTCCCTCCCTGCCCTGTCCCCAGCTTTGTTGTCCATGTCCTTTGTTTATGCACACATGCATATAAGTTCTGTGGTTTATCTCTCTCCCACCACTCCCTCTTCTGGGGATTGTCAGTCTGTACCCTACTTCCACATCTCTGGGACTACCCCATTCTTCAGACTGTTATGTTCATTATATTCCACAAATAAGTGAGATCATATGATACTTGTCTTTCTCTGTTTGGCTTGTTTTGCTTAGGATAATACTTTCCAGGTCCCTCCATGTCGTCTCAAAGGATAAGAGATCTTTCTTTCTTACAGCTGCGTAGTACTCCATCGTGTATATGTACCACTGCTTTTTTATCCATTCGTCTACTGATGGACACTTGGGCTGTTTCCAGATCTTAGCTATTGTAAATAATGCTGCTATGAACACGGGGGTACATATATTCTTCCTTATTGGTGTTTCAGGCTTCTTAGGGTATATTCCCAGAAGTGGGATCACTGGGTCAAATGGAAGTTCAATTTTTAATTTTTTGAGGTAACACCATATTGTTTTCCATAGTGGCGGCACCAGTCTGCATTCCCATCAGCAGTGCACTAGAGTCCCCTTTTCTCCACACCATCGCCAACACTTGTTTGATGATTTGTTGATGGTGGCCATTCTGACAGGTGTGAGGTGATACCTCATTGTTGTTTTAATTTGCATCTCTCTGATGATTAGTGATGATGAGCATTTCTTCATATGTCTCTTAGCCATTTGTATGTCCTGTTTGGAGAGGTGTCTATTTAGTTCCTCTGCCCATTTTCTAATAGGGTTCTTTGTCTTCCTTTTGTGGAGTTGTATGAGCACTCTATATATATTGGAAATTAACCCCTTATCTGATATACCATTGGCAATTATGCTCTCCCATACAGTGGGTAGCCTTTCTGTTTTGATGATTGTATCTTTCGCTGTGCAGAAGCTTTTGAGTTTGATGTAGTCCCATGTGTCATTTTCTCCTTTGTTTCTATTGCCTTAGGTGATGTATCAGTGAAAATTCTGCTGCGTATGATGTCTGAAATTTTGTTGCCTACATTTTCTTCTAGGATTTTTATGGATTCATGAGTCACATTTAAGTCTTTTATCCATTTTGAGTTTATTCTTGTATAGGATGTAAGTTGATGGTCTAGTTTCATTTTTCTGCATGTAGTTGTTCAATTTTCCCAACACCATTTATTAAAGAGGCTGTCTTTACTCCACTGTATGCTCTTGCCACCTTTGTCAAATAATAATTGAGCATATTGCTTTGGGTCCATTTCTGGGTTCTCTGTTCTGTTCCACTGGTCTATATGCCTGTTCTCGTGCCAGTGCCAGGCTGTTTTGATTACAGTGGCTTTGTAGTATAACCTGAAATCTGGTAATGTGATCCCTCCACGAGATTTTTTAAAAGATTCTGTATATAGAGCTGCTTGACTGAAATACAAATGTTTTCAGGCAAAGACTTTAGCAAGATTGTTCTTCTGCAAACAATCATTGAGCACCTACTCTATGCCATATTCATAGCTAGGAGCTGGGGTTAAACTCAAGTAAGATAAGGTACCTATCTGGCTTCTTTAAAAATATCAGCTCGGCTCTTCCATACCATGCATCGCCTGTGACATGGGCCAGGGAAGGCCGAAAGCCAGAGAGAGTCAGACCCAGAGCGGAGAGATCATCTCCACTCATTCCCATGCCCAGAATGGTTCAGGGTCTCACTTAAGTCACATGGCTTGTCTGCAGTAGATGATTGCTATATAGTCTATTTGGAAGGATATGGAGGAGGGACCCAACCCAAAATGCTTTCCTTCACTGCCAGTCACCATGACTAAAATCTCACCATTAGAGATCTGTTCTTTAAGGTCAGGGATCATGGTTTATTCATGCTTGTATTTCTCAGTATCAGTTTAGAGCCTGCTACATGGTTGGTAATCAATAGATATGAATGAATGAACCTATGAATGAACAAATGAATGAGAGATACATGTTAAAATGATGCACATGCCTCTGGGAGGTGACTTAGGTGGTTACCAGTTGGGGATGAGTGGACTGAAGAGCAGGCCCACGGCTGGGACCCACGAGAGGAGGGCAATGTGGTGCAGTAAGTACATGAGGTCTTTAACTGGACTAGACCTTGATCCAAGTTACTTAACCTCTCCCAAACTCAGTGTCCTCATCTGTTTGTCAGCAATCCTAATCTTAGTTACCTATGGAAGGATGTCAGGTTTCAGTAGAATGCAGCAGGTTGGGGGCTTGGCAAGACAAAACCCTACAGGAATGCCAGGCGTTATCAGTCTTGTGTCCTGGGAACAGCAGGTGGAATGAGGCCTTGCAGACAGCAGGAAGGCCACAGCTGTTCTCCTCGTGCTGTGTATTTACAGAAGCTCAGATATTCTGTAAATATCATTATCCAAAAGCCCTCCCTAAGCTCCGCCTTGCATATAGATGTCCCAGGCCGTGCGCATAAACCAAGTGGACACAGCCCTGCTCTCTGGGGACTGACATCCCAGGCAGTTCCCTCTGGGAAAGAGAATAAAAATGTTAGAGCTGCCCATTCACACCACATACGGGAAGAAGGAAAGACCACTTCCCGGTGAGAGGCCGGTCAGAGGAGTCAGCATGGGAGTTCCTTGTTGAACCCGAGCAGGATGAGAAGGTGAGCCTGCTGTGCCTTGTCCAGCCTCTGTTCCCTGGAGTCCACCCCTGAGGCCGGAGGCGGTCTTCCAGATGCAGGCCCGCAGCTCTTGGCAGATCTCGTGTGGGGAAGGTGTTGACGGAAATAATAGATGACTTTGGAGTCATGGCGCAGCTGAGCCAGAGGCCCCGGCTCTCACAGTCAGAGAAACCCACCTGCGGACACAGTGATTTTCTGCTTTTATTCTGATGACGGACACAGGAGACACACTTTCGGATTTCATTTTCTCCAGTTTCCTATAAAATGCATTACAGTGAATAGCTATATTTTAAAATTCAAATATTGGTCATAAATTAGGAATTTGGACCTAATCTATTTCCCAAAAGTTCAGATGGAAAAATCGAAGGATATTGATATTTTATGTGATCACATTAACCCACTCTTTCATCAATAACATTTTGTTACATTGAAATGTCAGACTCCCAGACTGTTACAGCAAGAAGGGCCCTTGAAGACAAACAGAACCAATCTGCTCATTGTACAGATGAGGACTGTCTGGCCAGGTCCCTTGCTCAAGGTCTCTTAAGTAGCAGCGGAGTCCAGACTAGAAGCTGGGTTTGGTGCCTTCTTCCATGACATCACACTGCAGGGCACCTTCTGAAAACACTCCTTGAGGGACTCTAAGAACCTGAGCGAGGTGTGTGGTTTGTGATTCTGTGTTGGCTGAAGACAGCCTCGGGTGTCACCAAACCAGGCCTGGGAAGCCCAGTACAACAGGAAGCTCCCTGAGGACAGGGTGCACTTTCTCATCCATCCATCGCGCCCCCCACGGGTCTGTGGCAGAGTCTAGGAGCTCAGCAAGAATTTGTGGATTGTGATTGATAAAGAAGAGAGTGCATCTGAGTGAGCAGAGCCCTCTACCCTTGACAATAAAGGGGAGTCAGGACAGTGCAGGATTAACATCAAATACAAGTTAGATGACCTTCCATTTAAATCACAAATTTGTACAAACTGCTGTGGGGCCTTGGTCAAGTCACTCAACCTCTCTGAGCCTCAGTAAGCTAGAGATGATAATATCCGTTTTAGAGAGATGAGAGAAATAAATGATGAAATGCAGAGAAAGACCATTGCCTGGTACTGCCTACAAATAAACACTCAATCAAGGGTCCATCGGGATCTGTTTCGTTGTTTGTTTATATTGGGAGAAATTATCTTTAGGCTTCCTCTACCCACTTCCTTTCAACCTGAAAGTGTCTATTTTCTCCCCGCCCCTCTTCTCTTTTCTCTCTGATGGGCTGGCTGATCTGTCAGTGATCATGGCACACTTGCCCTTGTCCTGAGCTCCTGCTAATTAAGAGGTGGTCGCTCAGAGATGCAGGGCACCCTGGGGAGCGGTTCTGTGCGCTCTCGTCCCCTGTCATCCTTTCTCAGCCTCCCTTTTCCCCACCACACCCAACTCTCTCATCTTCCATTCTCAGGTCTGGAAAGACTTGAAGAAATTGACAAATCTGGATGGCTACCCCTGACCAGAGAGTGGTCTCTAGAGCCCAGAGACCGAAGGGGAGCGAGGGCCGCCGGGGTCCCCTGGACAGCCTGGAGTGTAAGGAGACCCAGGAGCCGGAGCTGGCAGAGGCGGCCATGCGGACGAAGGCACAGGAATTCTTCCAGACCTGCGACGCAGAGGGCAAGGGCTTCATCGCCAGGAGGGATATGCAGGTAAGAGGGGCCCAGCTGGGCCTGTCCACCTGGCATGCCAACAGCCTACCTGTCTCAGGTTACGACTTGCCCCATTGGAGACGACCTCTTAACAGAAAAGATGCCATCAACTCTGCCCTGGAAGGAGGCACCCGTCCAAGCTCTCCTGGTCTCCTTATTTTTCTGGGTTTTACTTGTTGTCATACTTAGGGGTAATTCTCCTTCTCTGACTCAGTCACTCCCCAGGGGTGGGGAGAGGGTGACAGCAACATGATGGACATAAGTAAGAGATGGTGAAGAACCTTCTGAAACAAAGGTGGAAAGGCATCGACTTGTTGCTTCACGGCAAAGCTCTGAGCTCTGCCCAAGTCCGTCCTGCGAGGTGCCACGTGTGCACTGTGGGAGCTCATCTTGTCTGTCCGTCACCCTGAACCCAACCACATTCAGTCCTCAATGGAAGCATTTCCAGAGGACACATTCAGATCCTTAGTGCATGCCATTGCCCAGTGCAAGGCTCAGCAAACTGTCAGCCAAGGGCCAGAGAATAAATATTTTAGGTTTTGTGGGCTATGTGGTCTCTGTCCTGACTACTCAACTCTGCGCTATAGCACGAGCAGCCATAAGCCATAGGAATGAGAGTGGCTTTGTTCCAATAAAACTTTATTTATGGACACTGAAATTTGAATTTTATATCATTTTCATGCATCACCAAATATTACTGATTTTTGATATTTTTTTCTACCATTTACAAATGTAAAAGGCATTCTTAGCTCACTGGTCATACAGAAGCAGGATAGGTCCAATTTATAGCCCAGGGTGTGGTTTGTCCACCTGGGTCTCCTTTCCACCATTAGTGTCAAAAGGTTCTTCTTGGTGTCTCACTTAAGTCTCTTATGCTGCAGTCATGATTTCACCCTGGTGTGAGTACACACAATTCAGGCTCCCTCAGAGCTCTATGGAAGCATCTCTTTTCCACATCTTGTCACCACTTGCTCTGTCAAGAGCACTTTTGGAGGGAAACCTAGCTAGGCTATTAGGAGAAAAACCTACGATGGCCACATTTTCTTTTTTTAAGTCTAGGTTTTCAGAACTCACTAAAGTTGGACAATGAAATGTAGACCTCGTTAGTTCAGTCCCGTCGTGGTTCACCTGTGTGAGTCTCTAGGCGTGGAGGCAACAGGAGCGGGGTCTCTCTCGCTCCGGTGGGGGGTGTTCTCAGGCTTCTCCCAGCACCCTTCCACCATCCAGGATTTGCACAAACTGAGGGAAAAGACCTGGGAAGCAGAGTTAGCTAAGCCCACAAGTGAGCTCAGACTTGTGAGCTCACTTGATTTCAACAATTGACACCCCCCCCCAATACATTTCTGTCCTTGAAACTCATTCCCAAAGTCTCACTTCTCATGGAAGGCCAGAGTTCATGTATTTTGGGGAAACCAGTGACAAACTCCATCTGTGAACTTCATTCCCAGGCCTGTGGAGGGGTGCTCAGTGGTCCTAGTTTCGGGGCGTCCTTAGCTTGGGCTTACCCCCTCCAGGAACAAAGGAAAGGGAATGCACGTTTGTTGCGGGTCATCCCGGCCGCAGGCGTGGAGCAGCTCCCTGTGCGAGTCCCAGCTCCCCTGTGAGAAGTCCACTCTCGAAGGGAGGGAGGGGCATCCAAGCTGCCAAGTGTAAATTGTTGAAGAATCATTAGTGCTTGACCTGGAGTGAAGTCAGAAACATCAAGTCCAGAGATACCAACTCAGCTGCATCCCTCCGTCCTCGCTCCTGCCCCAGGCAGGAGGAGCGGGTGTGGGCGCCCAGCTGGCAGAGGCTTGTGCGTCCATGACACATTTCCACCAGCCCCTTAGTTGTGTGAACTTTCTGTGTAACTGTGGACAATGAGCCCTGGAAATTTTTCATTTTTTCAGACTAAGAAAGTGCTATCGAAGAGAACGATAGGTGTCATTTTAGCACCGTCCCTCTGGGGCTTTTGCTGGTCGTGTCTGGAGAAAGACAGGCTGGGAGGAGAAGCAGCGCACAGTCACCCTCCCATTGCTGACCCTGGGCTGACCCTGTGTGACGTCCCCGGGCCCCGGGGTCCTCCTGGGCAGCACCTGCAGCGACCTGCCTGCTGCCTGTCACCACCACAAGCAGATCCTTTGCAGGGTGGTCAGCGCCCCTTTGCTTGGTGGCCACTCCGGGGACCTGGCCCCCCCTTCTCATGGTCAGCCCCCAGCACAGCCTCCGGGAACTGGAGGGAGAAGAGTTCCGGGTGTTCACATACAGTCAGCCTCTAGGAAAGGCCCGCTAAAGCAGAGAATGTGTCTCAAGGAAGGACAGGCTGTGGGCTCCTGGGATGGAGAGCCGAGGGGCTGGAGGGGGCGGGAGAGGCAGAGCTGGAACAAAACCAGGGAGAACTGGCTGTCCTCTCGGAAAATGAAAGGGAGACTTAAGCTCCTCCCCCAGTGCTCTTGTTCCTCTTTTTCCCCGATTTGCAAAACTCTGCGTGTGAGGGTGAGATGAGCTTCACAGCCACCTGAGAGGGGCGGGAGGCAGTCCGCCTGTCCTGATGGAGCGGGGGTCCTGGAGGGCCGGTGGGCTGCACTGAGGGCGGGGTGCCGGCTGCCCTCTGCCTGGGCTCCTCGCGCAGACATCCCGCTGCGGGGCAGGCGGGGACCCTGACTGTGAGCAGGGTCTGGGCCGCGGTTTGAGAGTCCTCAGCTCCGCCCTAGCCCCTCAGACTTCACTGCCCCTCCACGAGGACCCTCTCCGGGTTCCAAGGGATCACTCCAGGCAGAATTGGGGCACAGATTGCTTCTCAGGGTGGGGTCTGAGCCGTCCCTTGGGAAGCAGTGGGTCCTTGAGGGCGGAGGGCCCTGAGTGAGCCAGTCCCGCCTCAGGGGACAGAGGGACATGAAAGGGCCAGGCTGGAAGGGCTGGGGAGGGACTCCTGCCTCTGGGGGAGGGGACGGAGCACAGCATGGCGGGGAGCTCTCTCGGAAGAAACCTGGAGCCTCCGAAACCCGGTTTCCCTGACACTGAAGAGCAGTGACAGGACTGTCTACCTCCCTGCGCTGCCGAGAACTCCGGCTCAGCCAGACTGTCAGTCACCGGAACCGGCAGGCCAGCGAGACCCGGCTCAGCAGCCGTCTTGCGGGCGGAGTCATGCTGGCGCCCTGGGCGCCCGTCTTAGGTGCCGTCCACAGCAGCTCGCACCTCCTCCTGACGAAGACGCAGGTGCCTGCGGAGCCTAAGATGTGTGCATCTAACCCTTTCCAAAAAAGTTAGCTGGCTGCTGATTTAGGTTCACAGGAGGACTTTTAAAGATTGGGGGGGGGGGGGGGCTAATTGACCCTGAGTTTTAATCTTGAATCTGCAACTTATTAGCAACGAGAGTTTGCGTGTCTTGGACCCTCTGGCCGTGGCTCCTCCCCTGCGGGTCGTTGCAGTGCCCCCAGGTTAGACGAGGAACAGGGGCAGATGCTGGTGGAGCGCTTAGCCCTGACCCGGGATGGACAGCCCTCCACACACGCACTTGTGTGGTTTTGGTGCTGGGTAGGTGAGGGACTTGTACCTCGTGTTGTAACCCAGACCCTAGTGGCCTCCACACTGTGATTTTTAAAAATTGCGGTGAAAGGTGCATAACATAAAACTGACCATTTTCACCATGTACCGTGGTTTTCGACGTGTTCCCTTTGTGGTGCAGCCACCATCACATCCATCTCCAGAACGCTTTCCATCTTGCAACATAAAGTCTGCGCGCATTCAGCACTAACTCGCCCCTCCCCCTGTTCCTTGCAACCCCCATTCTACTTTATGTCTGTGAATTTTACTACCCCAGGTACCTCATATGAGTGGAATTACACAGTATTCGCCCTTCTGTAACTGGCTTAGTTCACTTAGCAAATGTCTTCAAGACTCATCCACATTGTAGCATGTGTCAGAATTTCCTTCCTTTTAAGGCCAAACAATATTCCATTGTACATATACCTCCTTTAGTTTCTCCATTCATCAGTCAGTGACCCTTGGGTTGCTTCTCGTCTTTGAGTATGAATAATGGCGCTGTGAACATGGGTGTATAAATATTCTTCAGGTCCCTGCTCTCAGTTACTTTGGGTATATACCAGAAGGGGACTTCCTGGGTCATGTGGTAATTCTAGTTTAATGTTTTAAGGAACTGCCATGCTGTTTCCCACAGTGGCTGCACCAGCCTGCTGTGACTCTAACTGCAAGTCGTCTGACCTTCGGAGATAAACACAGGGCTTTTCTGGGGAAGAGGGCACCCCCCCCCCTTTGTATCTAACTGGAGCTGTTCTACGTGTGCCCATTCTGTGAGTGAGGGCAGTTTTGCCCCTTATAGAACATTTGGCAGTATCTGCAGACGTTCTATAAATATTTTTTTATTGATTTTTTTTTTAGAGAGAAAGGAAGGGAAAGAGAGGGAAACATTGATGTGAGAGAGAAACATTGATTGGCTGCCTCCTGCACGCCCCCTACTGGGGATCAAGGCCACAACCTGGACATGTGCCCTGACCTGGATCTCAATCCATGGGACGATGCTCAATCCACTGAGCCACATTGGCCAGGCTGCAGATGTTTTTGATTGAAACAACTGGAAAGGTAGGTGGTACTGGCATCTACCAGGTAACCTCCGGAATGTTGCTAAATATCCTATAGTGCACAGGACAGCTCCTCCTCCACTCTCCCTCCTCCAACAGAGAATTCTCCATCCCAAAATGTCAGTAGTGCAGAGAAACCCTGGTCTACACCAAGAAATGAGCCGGAACCAAGCTCATCAAATCGCAAAGCAGAAAATGGTAGATGCTGCCTTCTGGACCTCACATTCTCACCCTGGAGACATTGGGTTCTGGAAGCTCAGCTCTACCCCCGGGAAGAGAGTGGCTGGGACAGAGGTCTGAACAGGATGCTGTGGAAGCCCCCAAAGGAGGAAGATATTCGTTCTGGCCATAAAGATGGGGCTCTTCTGGTTTTCTGTTTGAGTGTTTCCTTAGACATGTTTAAAGTGGTGCGAACATTTGCTTTAAGCTACACGAGACATGTGGCTGGCTGGTGACCAGGAGGTAGAGCGGTCTGGCTACAGTACAGTAGAAGGGCAGCATTTTCCCACAGCTTTGGGAGCCTGGGCCTCAGCGGTGCTGCTGCAGGACTGCACCCCAGTCCAGATTCCCATTTATAAGAATCTACAATAGTGCTGGTCAGGAGTCCAGACCAATATTCTGCAAATAGGAGTTCAGGATCCCCGTGATCACTCTTGGTCACTCATTTACGTATTCAACCAATATCTAAATACTCCACGTTGGTCCGCACTGGGCTAGATCCTGGCGACACCATAGTGAGGAAAAACAAATGGGCTTCTTATTCTCAGAACTTCCAGTCTTCTGAAGGAGCAGACATTCGCCAACGAATCACATCTACAGTATGTAAAATACAAACCGAGATGAGACTTGTGAATGAGAGAAATGGGTTTGAGGAGCCTGTGTGTCCTGGCCCCACCCCGGGGCCACAGAGCTTACTGAGGGGGCGAGGCCCGAGCTGAGAGTGAAGCAGGGATTCAGAGTTAACTGCAGGTGGTGGAGGGAGGCCAGTGTTTGCAGGAGTCGAGGAATTCTGAAGGGCTGGTGTGGGCTGGGGCTATGGGGATAGGGCGAGCTGGCCTCCTCCATGTCTCTCCTCTCCCCTGCCTGCCCTTCCCTGTAGTGGAAATTAAACAGGGTCTCTGCAAGGTCAATACTGGTTGTGGGCGGGAGGTGGGCACGTGTGGTGTGGTAAGCGGACAGGGAGTTGGAGAATGATGACACCAGAGACCGTTGGACTGCAGCGGGAGCCTGTCTTCCCCCAGCACTGGTCTCCACTGTGACTTTAAGCAAATCTCAGAGCCACGCAGATTATTTGCACAGTGGAATGAATAATCTTGTCCAGAGATAGCACACTGGGTACCCAGGGGACAAGACCAGAATAAACTTGTTTTACATGGCTGTGCAGGCCCTGAGAGGAAAGATAAATAAGAGATTATTACAGTTATTAAGACTAAAAGATTTTTCATGTAGGGCCAGTAAAAGGGGTTATAGACTCTGGCGTGGTGTGGCCTGCAGAGAAGGCTGAAGAAGCACTCAGTTCGACTTTGCAGCATGTGAAGGGTAGGAGTTACTTGGAGGATATAGTATCAGTCTCCCCATCTTCACTGACAACAGAAAGAGGAAACTAGGTTTGAGACTGGAATTAGACAATGGAAAGGATTCGTGGTGGGAGGTGTCGTTAGATTCAGGAATAGCGCCTAAGGTGGAGAATGACAAGTGAGATTCAGGAATAGCGCCTAAGGTGGGGAATGATATAGCTTTCCCTCGTTCATTCACCCTAACAAGAGAAAAGGTATTATGTGGGGGTGGTTTGGGTGAAAGCCAAGTTGAGGATCCCACCGGCCTCTGCAATTTCCTTCCAGCCCATTTCTAGCTCCAGCACAGTGTGAGACGTCACATTTCACACCAGGTCCAGCAGTCCTAGGCTGAAAGTGGGGAGGGAGGAGAGATATTTCCAAAGAAATGACTGGAATCGACCTGAGGCAGGAGCTTGAAAACCCACCTCCAGTGTGATGCCTTTTGTTTCAGTGGAGCTAATAAACATCCTACTTGCAGAACTGACTTCTAACTCCCCATTCTCTTCCTGTGGCTTCTGAGACAGCTGGTTTCTGGATTGCTGGCAAGCCGGAGACACCGCTGTATGCTAAGCCAGTGCACTTCTAGAATTTTTGCACATAATCTCACTCCCTTTCCTTAGAATAAAAACTCATTCATGTTTAACTTCATTCTTCTAAATAGCTTTCACATCATCTTGTCTTCCCACTCCGTTAATGCATCCTGGTCTCCCTTGGTGCACATACCTGCCAAATTAAACTGTATGGCTTATCAGCTAGCAGACTGCTATAGGATCATGCCAAGTATTTATTCTTACATGTTACGTTGTGGGCTTTCACACCTGCCGGCTCTTCCGGATAAGTATATACTTCCTTCCTGCAGCCCTGTGTTCATTGTCTCCAGCTGCCTGTCACTTTCACACCCGCAGGCAATTCAATACCGTTGTCCTCTGGGTAACTGGGAGGGAGAGGGAGGGTCCGCTGGGATAGATAATGAACTCCTTGGGGAGTCCTCATTTGGAGACTTAGATTATTTGCTTCCACTATGCAAATTGGCCTTGGCTTGGGGCCAGCGCAGACCAGGCAGAGGCGAGAGGACAGGACCAGCCGCTCAGCCACCTTGCTTGTCATCCCTTTGGCAGGCCCCGCCCTTCCATGCTGGTGTGGTCCTGGACCTCTGCACTCGCTGTCTTGTCCAGGTTCCCTCGGGGACGGATGCAGTTAACATCCTCTCGGGAGGTAGTTGAGAGCCAGCAGGGAGCAAGAATGGGGCACACCCTGTTGTGAAGGGTGCAGGTCACTCAGAGGGAAGAAAGGGGCTCATCCAGTCCCCACTCACAGCTGAAGGACCAACACGTGTGTCCGGAGAGCTTGCAGATACGGCGCTGGGGCCCTGGGACATGAGTGGCCTTCATCAGGCAAGGCTCTGAGTGTGCTCCGTGCCTGTGTCTCGGCAGGGGAGTAGTGTGGCAGAGGGAAGGGGGTTTGGGCAGAGGGGGGAAAAACGGGCACAAAACCTGCTTCTGCCACTCACTCACTGAGTGGCCTTGGTGGGTCAGGCTCTCTCTCTCTGCCAGGCACTGTGCCATAGTCTTCACATTGGTTATTTCATTTATCTGGACAGCACCATGCCGGGTGGGTGTTACCCTCCAACAGGATTCCGTCCCGTACAGGTTCAGGTCCAGTCAGTCCATTACGGGGTGACAAACACCAGCTCTGGAGTTAGACCTGCATTTGACTCCTGACAGTGTCCTTTCCTGGCTAGGTAACGTAGGGACAGGTCACTTCACTTCACACTTCATCTATAAAATGGACATGATAATGCCCGCCTCCAAGGATTGTCATGAGAATTCAATGCAAATACATATAAATATAAAAGGTATATAAATATCTTGATGAATATATACATGTTTAAATAGTTATTTATAACTCAGCAAGCTGCCTAGTACATTGGTAGGCACCCAATAAATTGTCGACATTCAAAGGAGGAGGAGGATGGCAAAGTGGTCTTCAGAAGCTTGCTTCTGGCGTTTGTGGGCCGGGCCACATCTCGACATTTTTTGGCAGGAGGTTCCGGGCGGCCCTCCGTGGTCATCGGAGTGTTAACCAGTGCGGTCTGGGTTGTTTTCAGAGGCTCCATAAGGAGTTGCCACTCAGCCTGGAGGACCTGGAGGATGTGTTTGATGCCCTGGATGCTGATGGCAATGGTTTCCTGACACCAGAGGAGTTCACCACTGGGTTTAGTAAGTACTGATGGGCGCCGGGGCCCCATTGTGTGGGTCTGCCTAACTCTGCCCACCGCGCTTCCCTGCCCCCCAGACCTGAGGGTCCTGGCAGCACCGGAGGTTTCTTCCTTCCACGGGCCCCCCTTGGCTGCTCACACCTCTGTTCTCTCAGTGCCACCACACGGCCACTGCCGGGGTCCCTGCCACCCCGGAATGGCCGGAGGGATACAGGGAAGGCCTGGCATCAAAGGGGGGGCTGGGAGGAAAGTCCCAGCCTCTCCTTCATGCTCTGATACTGGAGGACAACCAAGTGGGGTGACTGCATGGCTCCCTCCGACCCGAGTCTGGCAGAGTCTCCCAGTTGAGGGGTGCCAGCTACCAGGGGACTTTCTAGACCAGTCATTCTCAACGCAACCAAGAGGAAGGAGATCAGAGATCCATAAAGAAGATGAAAACAACAACAACCCAGTGATGCCATCAAAGGAGACCAGTTCGATATTGATTAGAGTAGATACTGATCAGATAAATCAGCAGGCAAATTTCACCGCACACCTGGCTCACACAAGGGGCTGTAGTTTACTGTGAAGTGTCTGAGGCCGTTCCTGGCCGTCAGGAGCTTGGAAGCGACTTAGGAGGACAGAGGGCTGTGTTGCGGGCCGCACGCATGTGGAGGAAGGGCGCCCTCGGCGGGACGCTGACGTGTGAATGTGAAGTGCTGGCGGTTAGGGGCGGCCCGATGCTCACACAGAGATGGGCAGTCAGGTTGCTGGGGTACGAAGGACAGAAAGGTCTTGTTCAGAGAAATCAGTGAAGAGATGAGTCTAAGCCAGACTAAAGGATTGAGAACCACCAAGGTGCCCGTCATGCATTCTGCCTTTCTGGGGTTCTAGCATCTCTGGTAGCATAGGAAAGACACAAAAGTAGAACATGGTATCCTGGGGTCTTGGCTAGGGGGTTTCCCTTTTCCTTCTCTCGGATGAACCTCAAATGACTCCTGGCAGCTGAGAAAGCGAAGGTCTTCCTGGTGAGTATTGCCTGATTCAGACCCTTCTGCCATGCACCCCCAGGCCAATTCTTCTTCAACCAGAGCAAGCCAAGTCAGAAAGACGCCACTGAACAGGTGGCCCCGCTCCAGGAAGAGAAGGTGTATCAGTCCAGAGCAGAAGAGGATCTGGGTGACCTGGACGAAGATGAGGAAGCCCAGTTCCAGATGCTGATGGACCGACTTGGAGCCCAACATGTTTTGGAAGAGTAAGTGATGACAGCGATTTGGGGGTTGGAGCCCAGCCTAGAGCAAGCTCTTTATCTGCTCCTTTCAACCATTAATGTGAGCTGAGCCCTGAGTGCCAGGCCCCAGGCTCCGTGGCGCCAGCTACAGGGCTTGGTCCACACAGCCTGCCCTTTGCAATGGCCTTTCTGCGTGTCAGGGTCTAGGGGCTCTGTCTCTGCTTTACCCACTTTTGTCCCGGGACTCATCCTACCTCCCTGCTCTCCCACTCTCTTCCTTTCCTCCTGTTCGTTATCAGCACAGTCGGTGGCTCAGTGAGGTGCTCACACGGTGGAGGGCTGTGCCAGGGGTTTGCCTTCACCGGCAGCTCGCCGGCAGTGCCGCCTCTTCGGAGGGTCTCAGGGGCGGCAGTGCCCCCAGCCACCCCGCCGAGGCGAGCTCCCGGCAAAGGCACCGTACGTGGATCCCTGAGCCAAACCAAATCCGTCAGGAAGCCGAAGCGGGAAATTAACCAGTTTTCACCAGCCACCGCTTGGATAATCAGTAGCTCAGCTAAAAATGTTAGATGGTTGGAACTTTCAAACAAAACGTAATACCCCCGTTTTTCTTGTTTTTCTTTTTGCAAAGAGTGTTTTGGAATAAAGAAGCCTGTGAATCTGAGCTCTAACATTTAAAATGGAATGAAATGGTCCTGGCCGGTTTGGCTCTGCGGTTAGAGCATCAGCCCACACACTGAAGGGTCTCAGGTTTAATGCCTGGTCAAGAGCACGTACCTGGGTCGCGAATTTGATCCCTGGCCCTGGTCAGGTTGTGTGGGAGGCAACTAATCAATGTGTCTCTCTCACATCGATGTTTCTCTCTCTCTCCCTCTCTTCCTTCCACTCTATCTAAAAATAGATGGAACAATATCCTTGGGTGAGTATAAATAAATAAATAAATAAATAAATGGATTGGAATGACATAAAATAAAATAAAGTGATGATATAGATACGAAATCCAGACAATGGCCTGAAAAACATGGACTATGTTCTGGGGCCTATTTCTGTTGTCTTTGCCTTTTCATTTTTGGACCTCCAGGTCTCGGGTTGGGTGTGTGTTTCCCGAGGGGTGGGAATGGCCTGATGATCGGAGCCGATGTGTCCTGCACTTGGGAAGAGGAGCCTCTGTCGTGGAAGATGACAAAGAGGCGGCCAGCAGAGGAGCCTGCAACAACATGCAGGCCAAAGGAAGTATCTGTGGCTCTGAATATTTTAGCAAATGACAGGCTATGCAAATGCTCTGATAGACTGTGTCAGAGTTAGAAAGGCTGGGAGAGCCTGTGCCAGGCGAGGAAGGGACAGGTGGAGGCCTAGGAGAGAGCCCTGCGGGAGGCTCCGGCCAGCACGTGAGCCCACACGGTGGCGGCAGCAGCTCCGCTCAGGCCCAGGGGGGCTGGCGCAGGCGCAGGCGCAGACCCGCGGAGCTGGAGTGGGGCAGGCGGGGGTGCTGGGGACGCAGGCACGTGGGAAGCTCATTAGTCAGACACCTGACTCAGCTTCTCTAGGGACAAGAGGCCAGAGCACAGTGACTACTGTCAGTGAAGCGTCCTCCTGCAGGAGGGGGAAGGAGAGGGCGGTGTGGGGGAGCCAGGGGACTGCAATGAAGGGGAGGTGCCTCTCTACCCCCATCACTTCCAGAACAGCCACCTTCCTGGCAGGGCTCTCAGATCAGAGTTCAGCAGATGTTATACTGGGGACTTAGGTCAAAGGCAGAACTGAGTCACATGAGATATCCTGCAGGAGAGAAGGCTCTGGGGAAGGTTTCAAGAGTGGTCTACCAACACTGATAACGCAGAAGATGGTGACCAGCAGTGTCCATCCTCACTGAAGCTGAACAAGGAGGAAGTGGGCACAAGTTGCAGCATGAGCGTCATGGCCCTGAGACTCCAGATGAGGAAGCAGAGGAGGCTGTAGGACTGCATGCCCCAAGATGGTTTGTGTTGTCCTGGAAGCAGGGAGACGGACATATCGACCTCCCAGTGTCCCTTCTAGCTTCGTACTCCTGTATCTTTTCAGGACGAGTGCCCTGGGTGTAGGCTGGGTATCTGGACTCCCAATTTGATTTGATGGTCTCATTCGCTGAGTGGTTTTGCTCTTTATGGGCCTGGCTTATTATTATTATTGTTGTTATTATTTTATATTTTTAAAATATTTTTTCTTTATTGATTTTAGACAGAGAGAAGGGTGAGGGAGGGAGAGATAGAAACATCGATGAGAGAGAACATGGATTGGCCGCCTCCTGCATGCCCCCCACTGGGGATTTGGCCCACAACCTGGCCATGTGCCCTGACCGGGAATCGAACCAGCGACCTCTTGGTGCATGGGTTGACGCTCTACCAGTGAGCCTCACCAGCCGGGCTTATTATTATTTTTTTTAATCAAGGGTTGAAAGATTTGTCTCTTCTCCAGAAATCTGAGGGAGGTGATGTGGCCCTGACTAAGTGGTTCAAAGAGCTTTGGAAGAGGGTCAGGTGGTCTGCCAATCTCACCGGAGGCTCCATTAGCAACTTGGCAGATGGGAAAAGACAGACCTAGGCTAGCAAGATGGAGCTTGGATTGTAGACTGCATTTACTTCACGGGGAGCAACCTGTCACAGTGACAGGAGGCTGTGTGGCATCTCCCTGGGACCTTTAGGCTCTGAAACTTCGTGCCTTCGCCATTGTGCCTATGTAACGACATGGCAGCCATGCACGCTCTACGTAGGGAAGTGGAACCCGTTATGGGACGCACGGAGGCTCCTTACCTCTCCTTCATTCATTTCCCAGATTCCTTCATGTCCTCCAGTTCAATGCTAGGTTTTCAATAGATAATAAACACTTGTTAGGTGGGTGGGTGGGTGGGTGGAAGGATAGAGGGCCCGGCGGGTGCATGCATAGGTGGTCTAGAGGAGCTGGTGGATGTTTGGTGAGATGGGGCGAGGGAAGGAAGGAAAGGAGGGAGGGAGGGACGGCTGGGGAGATGATGAGATAGCTAACCAGGAGCAGGTCTACTTCTCAGTGGGCCTCTTCTCATAGTCTTATCTGTGTTCTAGGCACGCTGCTAACATGGCATGATCAAATATCACTTCTGAGGAGTTTCTCAAACATGGTGTTTGCGATACAAGCACAAAGGATTCTATTGGTTATCCTGGGGGTTTATGGTCATAGCTACCCTCATATCATAGTGGTTTGAGAGTTTAATGGGGTGCAAATCAGATTGTTCTCTGGCTTCGTGGGATCATTGGCTGGAGATTACTGAGTTTCTCCAGCGAGAGGAGCAGGGTCCATGTGTACGCCACCTCCCTATTCCTCCCTGTTGGTCAGCGTGACCCCAGGTGTCTCTGCTGTGGTGCACACACGTACGAGCCCAGTGTGCCTGCTTTGGGGGGTGAGGGGGCTTCTGGCCCCGTCCCTCCTGCCTTTGTCTTCCCACACGTGTGCACACATCTTTCAGACTTGCCACTTCCCTTCCGTTCACCTGCCAGTCACTCCTGGTGCCACCAGGCCCCAGTGGGGTGCTGCCTGTTCTCTTCCATTCCCTGCGGTGACAACTGCTTTCTGCCATCCATCAGAGGGCACGTCATTCCCCCTCAGCTGTGAGGACCTTCCTTCCCAGGGCGACAAGCTCTCTCCTGTAGTTCCACGGTCTCTGTCCTCACATGCACCAGGCTCCTGCTGTCCTCTCTTCTCCCAGCGTCCGAGATGTGCCCAGCACGGGGCTGTGCGTGCTCGGCCCCGCCAGCCCGTCGAGGAAGATGGGGGAGTGGGAGCAGCCAGGCGAGGCAGCTCAGGAGGCCCACATGGGAGGCGGACAGCCCCATCAGCCTCCCGGCGGTCATTCACCAGCTGAGTGGCCGGAGACGGCTCACTTCACCTCTCCTGCCTCACCTGCTTCCTCATCTGGAAAAGGGTGATGGCAGCTCCTGCCCCGAGGTTACTGTGGATCACGTGAGCCTACAGGCTCACAGCAAGCGCGGACACATGTGAGCCCCTGTCCCCACTGTAACGCCAACGATATTTCTGGCTGTCTGGTTCACATCGGGGGACTTCTGTGTCCAGGCCTCGTTCCCACACTCCTACACTAATGCCCCTTTTCCTCGTGCAGTGAGAGTGATGTCAAGCAACTGTGGCTGCAGCTGAAGAAGGATGAGCCGCACTTACTGTCCAACTTCGAGGACTTCCTGGCCAGAATCTTCTCCCAGCTGCAAGAAGCCCACGAGGAGAAGAACGAGCTGGAGTATGCCCTGAAAAAGTGGGTACCCTGCGCTGCTCTCTGCGCATCGGGTGAAAAACGGGCACGAAGGGCACTTTCTCTTACATTCTGTAACGCCGGAGTGGGGGCCGGCCCTATGGCTGCCGTGTGTGTGTGAGTGTGTGTGTGTGAGTGTGTGTGTGAGTGTGAGTGTGTGTGTGTGTGAGTGTGTTTGTGTGCGTGAGTGTGTTTGTGTGTGTGAGTGTGTGTGTGTGTGTGTACATCTTTATGTTTAAGCCCTTACATGTATTAGGTCTTTACCATATGCAGGGCACTATTCTAAACACTTTGTATATACTAGCTCATTTGGATTCTTTTATTTTTTAATTAATTAATTAATTTTGGTTGTTGTTAATCCTTACCCGAGGATATTTTTCCATTAATTTTTATAGAGCGTGGAAGGGGATGGGGGAGAGAGAGAGAGAGAGAGAGAGAGAGAGAGAGAGAGAGAGAAACATTAATGTGAGAGAGACATATTGATTGGTTGCCTCCCGCACAACCCTGACCGGGGCGGAGATTGAACCTGCAACCTGGGTACATGCTCTTGACCAGGAATCAAACCCGTGACCCTTCCATGTGTGGGACGGTGCTCTAACCACTGAGAATACCTGCAAGGCTAATTAATTTATTTTTTAATCCTCACCCAAGGCTGTTTTTTTTGTTATTATTATTATTATTGATTTTAGAGAGAAAGGAAGGAAGAGAACAAGAGAGAAACATCTGTATGAGAGGGAAACATTAATTGGCTGCTGCCCTTACATACCCTGACCAGGGATCAAACCCGCAACCTTTTGGTGCGTGGGGTGATGCTCTAACCACTGAGCAACTCGATCAGGGCTCATTTGGATTTATTTTTATCCAAATCACAGATGTGGAAATCAAGGGGCCGAAAGATTAAGTAACAAACCCCCAAATACACAGCTCATAGTGTCAGGGCTGGGATTCAGAGGGAGACAGCCTGGTACCCAAGACCAGGTGGAAAATCACCTGCCTACCTCTAGACAGAAAGGCTCCAGCATACCTGACCCACCTCCCCCACTCTGGACTGGCCCTCGGTCTGCTTCCTGATCACGCTCTGCCAGCAAGGTCTCATCTCTCCTGCTGGGCTCTCCAGATGACTAGCGAAATCTAGGATCTCTCCTTTGCCCGGAGGAGGCAGGGCCAGGCCAGGTGAACAACAGCTCCTGAAGAGGCTGCTTAGGAGTCACATGGGAGTCAGCCAGGCACCTGTGGACCACAGATGCGGGACCAGCCTGGGATGGCCATTCACCTGGGGGGAGGGGATGAGTGTGCCAGCGGGGCGCTGTGCCTGTCCAGAGCCATCGAACATACATTACAGCAATGAGCTCACATGTTGTGGAACATGGTGTAAAGAAGGATAATACATGATCCAAAATGTGCAGCCAAAATGCATGGCTGGGTTTGGGCAGAGCTCGGCAGCATGCCAAGGTGGCCTCCACCATGCCTCAGCCATGGACTCTTGTCCCCACCTGGAGATCGGTTCATATGCCATAGGAAACCTCACAAGTTCCAACACAGACCACACCCCTCCATGCAGATACTTCCCCACAGAGCTTCCTGGTGTCCAGCACCGCCTCCCGGGCAGTGTTTCAGAGTCTGAGTAGACATGGCCTTAGTGAAAGCATGCAAGAGATGGCAATGTGTCTGCTGGGTAGGTCGGCTGTCACGCATTACCCTGAGCTCCTTTGCATCTGTGACTCCCCTGTGTTAACTCTAAAGATAACTTGTTGAGCCCAGCCGGTGTGGCTCAGTGGTTGAGCATCGACCCTTGCACCAAGATGTCGCCAGTTCGATTCCCGGTCAGGACACATGCCCAGGTTGTGGGCCTGATCCCCAGTGGGGGGCATGCAGGAGGCGGCCAATCGATGTTCTCTCTCATCGATATTTCCATCTCTCTCTCACACTCTCCCCTTTCATTTCTCTCTCTCTAAAAATCAATAGTACACACAGGTCTGGGAAACAGGACCTTTAGGACCCTGAGTTATGAGAAAGTTGTGGCCAAGTAATGCTAGAGGGAATATGGTTCGGCTCGAGCAATGTTATGAGCCTTCTGGGGAGAGGCCTCCAAGGCTCAGAGAAAGGAGGGGTTGAGGGTACATTTCCATGGAGTCTTTAGCTGATTAATCCATGAGCCAGACAGGTCCGGGTTTGAATGGTGGCTCTGCCGCTTATTAGCTGTGTGACTTAGGCCAAGTTACTTAACCTCTCTGAGTCTCAGCTTCCTTACCAATAAAATTGGGATGATGATAGCATCCATCACAGAGTTCTGAGGATTAAATGTGATAATACATGTAAGCATTTGGAACAGTGCAGGTACATATGTATTCAATGAACATTAAAATAATGATACTTAATTGTTTTAAATATTTGTCAGTCTTAGAGGATTTGCCAGGTGGAGGTGAAGAGTTTAAGCCTTGATATAACCAGAGGTGGGATGTAAGGATCCTTTACCTTTCATGCGGCCTGGTATAGAACCTTGCTACTCAAAGTGTGGCCCATGGACCAGCAGCATTGGCATCACCTGGAAATTTCTTAGGGATGCAGAATCTCAGGCCTTGCCCCAGTCCTACTGAATCTGCATTTCAGCAAGATGTCCAGGCGCTTTGTGTGTGGATTTGAGGAGCGGGAGGCTAGAGATCAGAAGCTCTGGGTTTGAGTGTGGCTCTCCAACGAGCTGGCTCTGTGAACATGCTCACGTCTCTGAGCCTGTCTGAACCTGGTTTTTCTATCTGTAAAATGAGGGGGCTGGATTTGTGTCTGACCCTTACCACACCCCCACTCCCCCCGGACCACAGCATTGATCATACCAGGAGCCACAGCCACAAGTCGGGTGGCACCCCCAGAGAGGAGGCGACTCTTGTCCTGTGGGAGGTGAGGTAAGCGCAGTCTGAATGGGCCAGCCGTGGCCTGGAGTCTCGTCTGCAGGACGCTGCTGTGCTGGCCCACACTCCTGCAGAGAGAGACCGGTGCTCCTGACCTGCGACAGAGCCTCTCAGCCCTTACATCCATCTCAAAGTGGCCTCGATTAGTGCTTTTGCCCTGATTTAGTGATTGCTTAAGACGTTTTGAGATGAAAGTCAATGTCAGCCTTGGATGCATGTGCAAAACTAGCTCGGCCAAAGGTCCAGCCCTCTGAGCCCATTGTCTGTCGATATCCCTACCAGCGACAGCAGCCTGGGGTCAGCTGGCAGCTCTGGTGGGACTGGGGACCCACTGCACTCTCTTGCTAGTCCCATTCCAGGGGTGTTTTCTGGGTGCACCAGAGAACTGCAGGCTGCAGTGATCAGATCACTGCAACAGGACAGGAGAAACCGGAGTTTTTGCCTAGGCTGCCGCTGACCAGCTGTGTGAGCTTGGGCAACGTGCTCTACCTCTCTGTGCATTAGTCTCCATATCGGTAACGCGAGAGAACGGGATTGGTGTTTTTCAAACTCTTTGTGATGGTGACTCCCTAGAAGAACTCACTTGATTTTGTAACCTCCATACACTTAAACGTGTGTTTAACTGAAACAGAGGTTCGTGAAATAGTGCTCACCCTTATATGTGACTTGCTTTGATATTTTCTATCAGAGTCTCTCTTCTCTTCAAGGCAAAAAAAGAAATGTCTGGTGACATCCTGCTTTTGGGTTACGACTGGACCAGGTGGTCTATAAGACCTATTAGAGCCCAGAAGTCAAACAGGAAACCAAATCCCCAATAGGGTTTAGGACATTTCTTTCTTTTTTTTCTTTTAATCCTCATCCGAGGATATTTCTCCATTTTTGTTCAGATAGAGTGGGGGGAAGAGAGACGGAGGGAGGGAGACGGAAACATCGATGTGAGAGGGACACATCGCCTGCCTGCCTCCCGCACAACCACACCCTGACCGTGGCTGGGGACGAACCACAACCCACGACTCACTGGTTCAGGGCTGGCGCTCTAACCACTGAGCAGCCCAGCCAGGGCGGGTTTAGAACATTTCAATGGGATTCTTTACAAACGACTCAGGGTGAAGTTAAGTGGTTCTGTGGCATCTTCTTGGTGATGAGTTTAGAGGTTTGGGGCTTCTTCGTGGGAGGAGCAGAAAGATGCTGGTGAAGGAAGCTCGGGAATGGCCTGGTTCAGGCTGGAGCTGGGAATCCTGGGACGTGTCAGAGCATGTCCCAGGCCCCTCCACAGCGGGCCTTCCAGCCCAGGGAATAGCACTTCAGTCCCACCTGGGAATGCGCACCTGCCCCGGAGACGGTGACGAGAGCGCAGGTCATTACTGCTGTGTGTCCAGCTCGGGACCAGGCACCAGGGATGCGATCCACGTGTTTCTAGCAGCACATTTAATAAGCACTTACCCTGCCAGGCTCTGAGATAAGCAAATAGAACACAGACTCCCTCTCTTTGAGGAGTTTATGATCACACCGATGAGGCAGAGTTTACCCCCATAAAAATTCTGCCACAAAGCTGGCCAGCAAATTCCCGTGCTGTTGAAACACTAGACCGCGTTGCCATTAGCAGCAGCGGCCTCTGCTTCCTCCTCCTTTTCCAAACCACATACCTCATTTCTTTCTCCCACTGGGCCCAGAGGAGGTGGGACTGACCTCGGGTGGGGGCCTCAACCAGGTCACACAGGACACGGACTTCCTGTCCCTCAGGGCTACAGTTTTGCTGCAGTGAGTGAAACAGGCCCCCACTTCCTCTCCAGGTTCACCTCCAGGTTCTGGGAGGTGGGAGAGTGCAGTTCGGTTGAGTGCTCGGGGGAAGCTCTTGAAAGCTGATGTCAGGAGACCCAGCCTCTGGGGCATTGTCAGAAATGCCTACCTCACTGCCATGAGTTTGTTTTTTTTTTAACCTGTGTACTGGGAATAAGAAAAGAGGCGAGTCTGGGAGTATTCCGTCTCCCAGCCCTTGTCCTTTGGAGCAGAGGTGGAGGAAATCGCAGACTTGAGCTGGAGCCTGAGTACACTGTCTGACTCCACTGCAGGTCCACTGGGAAGCGGCCACGGTCC